AAATATGACAATGTTAAATGGAAGAAAAGCAAGATATAAAATTATAAGTATGCTACAAGTACAATTGTAAAACACAGAGTTAGGTAATAGCAGTTGTGCTTTGCTTAGACTGTTTTCTTTTTCTTTTTCTAATTTACCATATTATTCCATAAAAAGTGAAGGTATATTTTAACAAAAATAGAAATCATTAAAGCACTGTTTAGGTTTTGTTCACCTTCTGTTTGGCCCTAATCTGGTATACGTGTATCACCTTAAAAGAGTGAAACTTTTATATTGAAGATGTTTATAATACAGTATTAAAAATATCAAGTTAAGTTGAAATATATATCTACATATACATATTTAGGCTTATTTATTTGAAGAAAGAACAGTTTTGCCTATAATTACTGAGAATAGTATATAGCAATTAAGACATCAATGATGATATAACTTGAAAATATTTCAAATATTAAAATTTTCTTTATATTTCTGGATGGGTATACATTTTACAAAATAAGGCTTAAATAAAAAGATAGGAATATATGCCCAAATAGTGTTATCACAATAATGATCATAACTTATTCTTAGAATACACAGTAAAAATAGTAATTTTGAGTACATATTATCAAAGGAAAATAATATGTACCTTTTATCACACAGGCTACTTTCGGCTCCAAATAAAGTTTAATGATTCTTAATTTTAATATGATGTTGTCTCCTTTAATGTCGTTGTGATGATAACTTTATATTTTAAAAAGCAAAGTCCTCAGTGAATAATTAGCGGCAATCAAGAGAAGTTTAAACATGCCATAAAGGGAAAATTTCTGCCAAGAATAATTATCTTTTGTAGGAAATATATCTCATGAGACAAGCTGAGGGCATACATTCTGCAACAGAGGAGTTTTGAGAACCACTTCCACTGGAATATTTATCATAAGCCAATCTTTCTAGACCTCAGCTACCTGAGCCTAATGCTTAGTGTGGTTTCTTTGAAATGTTTGTCTTATATGTAATGACTCATGATACTCTTAATTGAATATATATACACACACATATACATATTCAAGAAAAGATAAGTTTGCATAAATTATAAATATAAATTTTGCTATATAAGCAAAAAAAATCCTCTAGGAATAAAACTCAACAATATCAAAGGAATAGCCAATTAAACTTTTGTATAACTGGGGGAAAAAGTATAAATATACTGGCTAAATTAAATCTATCAAATCGATGGGTCAAATAGCAATATTTGGAATCATTTGATGTAGGTAATCATTCCATGTGGAATCTTTCTGTCATTGAGCCTGATTATACTAAGGAGTTTCTCACACTTGAAACTTCAAATGTCTCAGCTGAATCGATCTTTACAGTTCTATCTTTTTTTCTCTTCTTATGCAATTAGATGTAGTTATTAAGACAATACCAATATTGATTTTATATAGATAAATAACATAATCATTTTAGTGGCATTTTAAGAAAGAGTCATCTAATCTGCCATGGATTTTGCAAAACATCATGAAGACCTTGCAAAATAAAGCTTACAAAGTAGAGTTCTAAGTGGTCCAGATTTATAATCTGTATAGAAATTTAGAGGTATTAACAGAATTATTCTAGAGTTTAGACACATATGAGTCGGCTCCTGGTCTTTGCAATATTGGCAAACCCTTAAAAATCCTTAAATACAAAGTGAAGGTACAAAGTCCTCAAGGGGAAGAAATTCAATAGAGAGAGACAACAGTGCTAATACAAATAGAGGTTTAGACTTGTTAGTTCAACTAGAAAGCTTTCCCTAGTGAATAATTCACAGCTTGCCTTCTCTGAGTGACAGGACATTTAATTAAGAGATACCTTCAACTTCAGAAGTCTTCAGATATTAATCATTTTTTAGAAGATTATAAAGTGCTAACAGTGTAAAAGGCACAACAATACAATAATTCCTGCAGCAATTTATTTGACATTTTTTAGAAACAAAAGTCATTATCAATCTAGCTAGAATTTGGATCAAAGGTTTTAGACATTTTTTAATCAAGTTATTACCATTTTCTAAATAATAATCAATATTTTAAAATGTGAGCTATGCATTATTTGGGTTTAGTATTAATTGAACAGAAAATTCAAACAAAACTGTCTCAGTTGAAATCTGTGAAGCCAGGAGATCTTAAGTGTTCTTACACAAAAGCAACCTTGTGAGATTACGGATGTGTTAATTAGCTTGATTGTGGTAATCACTTCACAATATATACATATATCAAATCATCACATACACTTTATATGTATTCAATTTTTATTTGTCAAATATACCTCAGTAGAACTGGAGATAAAAGCATAAATATAAAGGTTAAATTAAAATCTTATCAAAACCATGGGTCAAATAGCAGTATTTGGAACCATTTTGAAGTAGGTAGTTATTTCCTTGCCCTTCATTCCTTAATTATAATTGAACTCTCTTTTTTCATATGTTACTGTTTTTACACAAAATATATTTATCAATATTTTCTCGGCAAGTTTTAATTTCATAATGTCTCCCAAGTAAGAGTAGGTTGTTCATATAAGATTAAAGACTTCCTGCCCGGGTAAAATTAGTTTAATATAACAGATATGGAATTTGTAAATCTAATCATATGTCAAATGCACTAAGGGATATTTCTAGCAATTTATTCTATTAAAAATAACATCCACTGTTATAGCCCTTTATATTTTACAAAGTATTTTTACATACTGCTATCAAGTAAATCTCAATAGCATCATTTTAAAAGTGCAAAAACTGAGATTGAGAGACAGGTGTTAAGAGTCATGATCAATACCACTCGCCTGGTATTGACAGAGCCAAAAGTAGAACTCAAGGCTTCTGGTCTTTTTTGGGGTTTCAAATTTTTCATATTGACTGATTCCCTTCTAATGTTAGAACTGTTGCCACACCTACCTTCTAATTGCCTGAATATCTGGATTTCAATGTATTTGTTTCCTCACTACCTTTAGTTGAAGTATGTGCAAGTTAATCCAAGGAATGGCAAGAATTCATGAGATGTACACACAGTTGTCTTCATAAAGTCAATAGGACACTGAGAAAGGTATGAATAATTCACACTTTCCCACTGCTGATCAATTTTAAGTCTGTGACTGGCCTCAACTTCGGGTGGAGTAAATAGAATTTCTATAAAATATTTCATTTAAAAATCTCTCTAATGCTTAATAGGGAAACAGAATAGATCTAAGTAGCAAAAATGTATTAGTCTGAAAGATCTTTGACTTTTTCCAGTACTCTAAGAATAGTTACTCAAGCAGGTTTTAGACAAATTTTTAAGGATATAGCCAATTTGTAATATATTTATATACAGGTTTCTATTATACAATTATAATCATATAACATAATTATATGCATTGTATTATATATTAAGTTATACATAATATAGCAAATATATAAATTATATAAATAAGATATTTATATATGTAATGACTCATGATATTCTTTTTTTTCTGAGTTAGGGGTTTTACTCTATTGCCTAGGCTAGAATGCAGTAGCACGATCACAGCTCAACACAGCCTCACCCTTCTAGCTCACATTATCCTTCTGCCTCAGTCTCCTAAGTAACTGGAACAACAGATGCATGTAACCATGCACAGCTAATTTTTAAATTGCTTTGTAAAGACAGAGTCTTGCTATGTTACCCAAGCTGGACTTAACCTCTTAGGTGCAAGCACTTCTCCCACCTTGGCCTCCCAAAGTGCTGAGATTCTAGGCATGAACCACCACATCTGGCAATACTCTTAATTGAACATACATATATATTTAAGAAAAGATAAACTGATAAATTAATTTTGTTATATAGCAAAATATTTTCCTAGGAATAAAACTCACATTAGGGCATTTTATTACTTTTAAAACTGACAAGAAATCTTCAAAGGCCTCCTTTGCCACCTCAATGGGATTAGAACTAATGCCAGAAATTAAAGTCTAAACTGAGTATTAATGTGCATTTTAGCATACTGTAAAAAACTGGAACAATTAACACTAATTACTGGAATCTGGCATTACAACTGGCTGGTATAACTTCTGAGCAAACCATAGCAGGACATTACAGGCATTCAACCTCAGCATGTGAACAATGTCTCTCTTAAGTTCAGAAGGACAAAAGCAAAATATACACAGGGGAAATTGTGAATATTTTCACATAACTTTGAAAATAACATAATTTTTTCAGGTTAACATGAAATATAGTTTCTGATATTTTAATTCTAGGACAATCTTCAGGATTCTCATGGCAAAATAAAATTTTACTTCTTTTGATTTTTAGGTTACTATAAAACCAAAAATTATGGATCTGAACTATTTATTTAATGCTTAATTTTGTCAATTGAATCCTTCAGAAATGTTGTATGATGTCAAATGCTAAATTGCAATTTAAAAAGTGGAAGATTACATAGATTACTGTTTTTTAAAGTGATGCTAAAATTTTGCAGGAAAAGTGAATCTTAAGTTACTTCAAATTATTGTAAAAGACTAAGGTTTGTTTTAAAGCAAATTATTATTGCAGACAGAATTGTATACTTTATACAACATGACAATTAATGGAATATTTACCATCTCATGTCATTATCATATTAGTAAAGCAAAGTTCAATGTAAAGTAATGAAGAATTCGCAGAGGAAAATATTTCTAGCCTTATTATTTTTCATACAATTTCACAAACAACTATTAATTACAACCATCATTTGCTCAAAAGTATTTTCCATAAGATAAACAGCGTGTTTACATTCAATTGTTTAAATTGAATTTTAAGCTAACCACTTTCCCCTGTTGAGATAATCTTCACCAAAAATTAAGGTTTCATGTTTAGAGAGACATACTAAGAGTACTATGTAATAATTACCTTGAACAGTTTGCTTCTTTTTCCTTTCGAGTACTTAGTTTCTTTCTGTCAAGGTGTTGGGTTTTGTTGAGCCAACAAAATATTTGATCTTGTTTCTGTTTGAAATAATTTTTAATCAAGATTAAATCCAAAGAAAAGAATGTCACTTACTTTGCTTTAGCTTCCGCATCCTCATATGCTTTATTAGAAACATCATCCAGTCCTCCAATCAAATGCTTGAAAGAGCTGTCAGAGGGAAAACAGAGTGATGAGGGTAAATCCTCCATAAAGTAGTGAAATGGCAGCCTAGTCAATGATATAATGAAACAATATAAAGGCATGTAAATAAAAAATAAATTCAAACACTTAATCTTAACACATTAGTAAGAAACCAGATAATGATACTTTTCCTGACTAGATTATAAATTCTATAGGAGGTTCTTCTACTTTGATCACCCCCACAGTTGCCAACACCTAACCATATCTGGCACCCATATCTAGCAAAAGCAAATATTCAAATTGGGTGGAATAAAGTCTGTAACACACTAATTGATATGCATCACAAAATTAATTAGTCCATTAGTTATAATACTTAAATAACAATAAAATTCACCAATTATGGAATGCCTCCTGTATGACAGGTCCTATTCTTTTAACAAGCATTAACAAATATTAATTCAATTTCTCAAACAAATGACAAAAGACAAGTATCATTTTCTCCATTAAACAAAATAGTAAACAAATTTTCCAAGGCAAAACAAAAAAGCAGAAGATAGGAAAAAATTTAACAGGTGAGAATTATAGAAAAATTAGCTCATTTTGGAAGAGCAAAAAAATGAATGTTAGCATAAAACAGGAAGAGCAATTTACCTTGTCAAACCCACTCTATTCAATACATTACTGTGTACCTGAAACTGTGTTCAGACTTACTTTATATGGTGAAATCTCAACTATTATGTATCTATAATATAAAACATTATAAAACCAGCACAAAATGAATACACCCATGTGTACTAGAATCATCGTTGAAAATTACTGAATACAACCAGCTACAGTAACTGTTACTGTTCACCACATTTTGACAACTACTGAACTATACTTAATTAAGTGACAAAATGAAAGTCGACACTCAGAAATCTGGTACTCCCATGATAATCAGAGTCTCACTTACAAGGCACTCATATGCCAGGCGTTGCTTTTTGATTACGGAAAAATCTTAAAAACTAAGTGAAGAAATTATGAAATAACCCATAGTTCTCTAACTACAAACGACTATAAAAAACATTTTTATAGATTTCCTGTTACTTTTGTTCTGCATGGTTTTATCATTGTTGTTTGTAGAGCTGTAATCGTAAGGTAGCTATGATTTTTTTTTGAACTGGAGTTTCATTCTGTCTCCGACTGGAGTGCAGTGGCATGCTCCCGGTCACCGCATCCTCGTCCTGCTGGGCTCCTGCGATCCTTCCGCCTCAGCCTTCCAAGTAGCCGAATCTACTACAGGCGCGCGCTACCACGCCCAGTTAATTTTGATTTATTGTAGAGACCAGGTCTCGCTAAATTGCCCCGGTGGATCTCGAACCGGCGAGCTCAGGCAATCCACTCACCTCCGCCTCCCAAAGTGCTTGGATTACAGGCTGAGTCACCGAGCCCGGCCAGCTATGATTTAATGACTTGATTTTTAATAGTATTATGGCATAAATATTTATTTACTTTTATTTCGAAAAAATCCATATGCAATATTTTAGCAACTGAATAATAGGTCACTGCATGTACATAATCATAGATACACACATGAACACAAACACACATAGTTAATAAAACAAGCACATACAGATGAAGGAAGGGTGTGATAAATATTTATACAAACATTTTTACTTACACTCTAGATTATAGATTAAACATATGGAATTTATTTTCAAGATAAAAATACCCAGAACTGTAGTCTTGGCTTTTGGAATTAGAACCATATGTCCTTCATAAATAATCTTTATTTAGAAGACAATCCTGGCCAAATGCATACTGCTAATATACTAACTCTCCCCAAACAATAAGTCAACCATTACACTTAACTAGGCAATATTACTAAGCTCTAAATGACTTCCACTGCCTATAGATACCTGAACTGATCAATGAATAATTTAAGACATTTTGATGGGCATAATTGATGGTGTTACAGAATTTATCACTCCTGGCACAAAAATGAACCAATTAGTGTTTCATTTCCCCCCTCTGACATTCTGTAGGAACACCTGCCATCTGTATGGCCCTCATCAAACAGGCATTTGGAAAAATATCACTGCAGGTACCAGATGCCTTTCTAAATATTTACTCAGCTCCTATGACATTTCTAGACTAACAACTGTTTTGTCATTATTCTATCCTGAAAGGGTTGATAATGAGATGTTTTGAAAACTCTAGCAACTGAGCAAGTAAGACCAAAAAATAGCATATAGTTATAGCAAGTAATAGAGGAAAATCACTAAATCTATTTTAAAACAAACTCACAATTTAAGCACAAGTTATATTTTATCAACTTAAAATAAAGTACCCAATTTCCACATATACTGTAGACTTAATTTCAGAATAGATGAAGGAGACCTTTTTGAGCAAATGACTTATATAAGCTCTCTCCCCCAAACCTTTACGTGTGCACACTACTAAATGCACAATTTCCTATTACTTTTCTTGGATAGAAAATTCAGTTTTTGCAACTGTTGATGGAAGACTTTCTTTAAAGGAGGTGGGTAAAATGTTATCAACTGAGTACATGGATATTGAAAGAGAGAACGTGGGAAATTCCTTTTATGTTTAATGTTGGTAGTTTTACATAATTGCCAGGTGGGGAGAGAAAATAAAGGAAAGAGGAAGGAAGTGAAGAAGTGACAAGAAAGAAAGAAGGAAAAGGAGTGAAAGATGACTGGAAGAAGGGAGAGAGGGAGGGAAAAGAAATAATGACCCTTTCATATCAAGAATGATGACATTAAAATAAAACTTCCTTAAGGAATATCAGTTAAAAGGCTATCGTTCTCACGGTAGGAAATTTGTCTGTTTCAGAACATTATGGTGATGATAACTCAGTGGGTAATAATTTCAGTTATTAAGATGTTTTCATTATTAATCTAAAACATTTTTCTGAAGGGAGCTGATTACTCAGTGGTATGCCTAAAAAGAGTCTAATTCTTTCTTTGATTGTGATATGATGGAACTTCATCTAGAAAGAAATGATCTTTTAAATTGTTAGAAAGGGAGTCCAAATACCAGAGATCAGTATTACCATGCTGCTAAAAATAACATTTATATTTTACTTTATAGTTTACAAAGCATTTTTATATTAATACATCATGCATGTATTCAATAATAAATGTTTTTTGATTTAATTATCACAATCTCCTGTTCTCTATTTTGATACAATGTTTTAGAATCTTGTATATAAATTTTAAAAATAGAGTATTTTTGAATTCAAAATAGGGTGAGAGAAAGCCTCTTAATGTATTTAATACAGATTTCTTGATTGCAATCTTAGATATGACAGTAACCTATTTTTAGCAGTCAAATACTATAAGTGAAAAAGAGTCAAAGGTAAAATCTTAAACCAGAAACTATTTCAGACACTACAGTAGTACTAAGCAAAATGCTTGTCTAGATCAGAACCTTTGGCAAGCCTTCTTAATTGGACAGGTTTTAGCATTACACTTTGCTAACCCAAATTTCACTAAATACTTACAAAAAAGATATTTATTTTAAAATACAGAAAGTTAGAGTTCTAAGTAGTTAGGACACTTGTTTCTTAGCTAAGCCCAAGTTTTAAGAGGTATCCTTCATTGTTTTGGTATGCTTGTGCAGAAAATTTGTTGATTCACTTTGTGGCTTCATGTCCTATGTTTATCATTTTGGTTTATTTTATTTTATGAAATAAACCAAATCATAATTCTTAGTGGTTTATACTATCAAGTGTCATATAATATATATATATATATATATATATATATTAGGAAAAATGATCCCCAAATACAATAAAACCAGCCAACATCTATATTTTTCTGGTTATCCATCCATCCATCTGTACATGCATTCAGACACACATATATTCTTATACAATGCCTACTATCTATGAGGGATGACTCAAACTACTGTGGATTTTTCAAAGAGAATACAGTACAATCTTAAGGAATGTATAGCCTTATGTTACAGGTAAAACACAAGGTGGGAGGTGATGGGTAACTGAACACTTATCAGACAGAAGGCTATAGTGTCTATGAAAAGAATCTCAGTCGCTCAAAATCTAATTTTTCAATTTTATGACTAGACTGCTTATCAGTATTTTTTATCTTGCAAATTTGTTTATATTTGCAAGAGAATATTACACACACCAATGTGTAGACATTTGTCTGGGTCTTTCCTTCGTAACAATAACCACATGTCTATCATGGGAATTATTCATTTAAGAAAAATGGGTTACAGATAACAAGCTTTTGATTTAAACTATCCTGATTATAATTATACGCTTTACAGAGTACCAATATTTGAAAATAATGATGTATTTTGATCTAGTGGACAAAGAAATAAAAAGCTAAGAATCTATTTCAGGAACTCTCTCATTTTATTTATTGTGACTTTTGAAGAACAACAAAAAATTGATTTAGTGTTATCAAGTGTTCATGTCTAATAGAAGAATGGACCCCGAAACCCCTTAAATTTATTTATTAAAAATTGTGTATTTATTGTTACATGTTTAAACTTTGGTCACCTTCAAAGTACTCTCCGCTTGATGCAATATATCTTTTGAGATGCTTTTTCCATTGCTCAGTTTTTGAACTTGTGGATTTGGATGCTTTTTAGTATTTCTGCCATTTGTTTTGTTCACCTCTTGCATATCTGCAAAACATTTCCCTTTGAGGACTTTTTTCATTCAGGGAAACAAAGAAATCATTTGGGGCAAGATTGGGTGATTTGGGAGAGTGGGGCATGAGGGTCATGCCATTTTTGGTCACAAGCTGCTGCACACGCAGCATGGTATGGGCAGGTGCATTTTCATGGTAGAGGAATCAGTCACCTGTTTGCCACAATGCCAGACACTTATCCCGCAAATTGTGATGCAACTTTCTAAAAACTTCCAGATAAAAACTTTGGACCATTCTTTTTGTTAAGCACTGCCCAGGTCATATGTTCATTGGGCCATGGCCAAGCCATGTTTCCTAAGCTTTGGCACCCTCCCCTACCTTCAGGAGGTAAATCTCCAATCTCTC